TTTCCAAGTCATAGGACAAGAAGAAATTACCTCAGTTTGCATCAGAGATTGTTTAAATCAGGTATTAGGAAAATTTTCTTCACCAAAAATCAATTAATAAAAATTTAAATTTAATTTAATAAATTTAAATTTATTTTAATAAATTTAAATTTAATTAAATAAATTTAAATCAAGCATTTGAAGAGGCTTCCAAGGGAGGCAGTTGAATCACCATCTCTGGAGGTAATAACATATATAGCCAAAAGGATGTAATTGAGTGCCAGACTTGACAGTATGAGGTCAGTGGCTGGACTTGATGATCTTATGCGTCTTTTTCAACCTAAATGATTCTATTATTCTTCTCAAAGCTCATCCTATATAGACTATGCGCTACATATTAGACACTACTTGATTTAAATATACACATGTAATTTAGTTTTTATTAACAGCTTGGATAAATTAGTAAGAGTTGCTTGAAAAAGCCTAAGGAAAAAAATGTTCTTCTACAGAGCTGGGATTTGAACACACCTTTTACCCACAGTACCTGGCAGAACTTCCTTTTTCACAGGTGTCAGACTCAGTACAGGCACTGTAAACATATTAACTATTGCAGCAGTAGCTGGTTCCTCTGCCCCTATGAAATACACATGTTGGAAGGCTGTCATCAAACAGGTCATGCAATGGATAAAGAACTCACTCCTCAATGTAAGTGACAAATTATTTGAGATGACAAAACCAAGAAAGAACTGGCATTTTCTGCTAAATTAACCAAAATAAGGAATATATGAGAAAACACTGCAGGTTCTCATCTTCAAAAAACAGCTTCTACCTGTGTAGATCTTCTCATTTACTTTAGAAAGTAACAAACGAAGTCAAAGGAGAGTCAGTAAAAAGCAAACCACATGACACACATTAGATGGCATGCAAAGGAACACGAGCCTCACTCCCCCAAACACACTCAAGCATGGTTTGCTGACTCACTTCTTAAACATTATCTCAGACCTTTTATAAGGAGAAAAAAAAAAGGCATTAAGAACTTAAACTATGCGAGAAATTTGGTGAGATGTGTCCTTTTTTTAAAACATTCTCAAGCCCTGCACAATGTTGAACAAAACAACAGGTACATGTAACATTCACTTATGGAAACTAAAGCGGGAGAATACAAACACTATACTAAGTCTCTGTATTTAAATTTGAGAAAAAGTGCTCTGGCTGTTCTCTGATACAGTAAGGAAATTAAATACAGAGGAAGAAAGCTTCACATATGATCTCTAACCCATTCTCAATAGAGTTCCACATACAAAATGACTAACTGCATACTGGTCTTACCAGATCCTTTGTGTCCACATCTGAATGCTTATCCTAAAGCCATACTCATCCACTTGGAACTTATTTGTCCTCACAAGTTCCTTCCAGAACACTGTGTTAAATGAATTTTCTAGTCTTTTATGTCTTTCATCTCTTCTTTTCCCATCTTGTTTTATATTCAGTTCTGATGTTTTCCCAAGACACAGACACAGAAGACAGATCAAAAATACCCTCCCTCAGTACCTGCTAACAAAATAGTCTTAAATCTCTTTGCAAGAGATTAATTTCCTAGAATCAGATTTTGAAAATGCAGCTCATGAAAAATATACATCACAATTTTTTAAAAGAACAGTCCAACACAGGTCATCTAAAGAACCTGAATAAGGAAGAAAAGTCCTAAATTTTTATCCAGAAAAGCATCTACTTCAGCTTTCTGAAGACTGCCAGACAGAGCATCTGCTCAGCAACACCATAAATTGTGCCATGAATGTTCTCATCCCTTCTCAGACAATTTACTGTTACTGCAGTGTGACCAGAAAAAAACAACAAAACAAAGAAACAAAACTTGAAAAGCAAACCAAAACAAAACAAACACCAAAAACTAAACAAACAAACAAAAACCCACAACAAAAAAAAACCACAAAGAATAAAATCTTTGCCACTTCTGTCAAAATTAACAAAGCTGGCAAAGACAGACCACAAGGCAAAGGTAAGAGGTTCTGTAGATAGAATGTAGCTGACTTAGGGCAATTTTAAGGCAATTTCTTGGTTTTTCTAGGACAGAGGTGTTCACAGATTTTGCAACAGGGACAAACTGCAAGACTGATAAGATGAAAGAGCTACTTGAACAGAAAGTAAGCAAAGCACAGCCTGTGTAGAAGAACTGGGCATTTCTGTAGTATCTGAGGCAGTACTGAGAAATACAAAAAAAGCAAAGTTATTGAAAATAAACAAGAAGATCAGCAAACCTGGAATATATTTACTGAGAACCAGGAACTGCAGACATTAAAGAAAGAATGTCCCTATCTTCCTGAGAAGGGAAAGGCAAAGGAATCAGTCTTTCTACTACTACAATGCAAACAGAAGATACTATCCAAGTCAGATACATGCTGCTTACCGACTTTTCTACCAGGTGAGGTACAGTTCCCATGCAATCCAGACAAACTGGTTGTAAGGCAAAGAGCAAAATACTCTAGGTGTAAAAGGGCTTCCTTTCTCTTTTTCCCCTTTCTGCTGCTTTTAAAAAGCTGCTGTTGTTAGCATTCAACAGCTATTATATATAAATATAAGCTGCTATTAAAGGCCAAAACCTACACCAGTTTTTGATGTTCTGAAAAACAGGCATCAGTAGAGGGCACCAAAAAGCAAAACAAGTTTCGGTATCTTTAAAGAGCTTAGTAAAAGAGGGACCTACCTGCTCCCATGAGAAGTTGAAGAGTAAAAAAAATGAAAACCGTCCTGTTAAATCATAGACCTCATCAAGTTTTGCCCACAGAAGAATACTTCATATTAGAAATACTTCGTATTAAATTATTTAACTTAATATGAATTCTTATATAGAGAAGAAAATCACAACTTCTATTTCCATATGAACTATTAAGTCAAGCCTGTATCTTTCACAAGTTTTAAGAATCACTCCTCCACAGTCAAGACAACTTTATGACTGAAAATAGAAAAAAAGTTCTGTTATCTTTCCTCTATCCTTATTTCCACCTTTCAAATCCTTCTGAGGCAAGGGAAGGTGGAGGTAGCAAAGCAACACACAAAGACTACATGAGAAATTTGTAACTCAAAAATCTGCTCTGTACAAATTCTCATTAGATCCCTGGCAATTCAGCTCATGTAGTCTCTACAAACAAACATGTATGACAGCTTTGATTTACAACAGGAGTACTGTTTCATAGTACTTGACAACAATTCAATAATAGGTAGGTCTGAAGAAGTAACTTCCCTCCCTAACCACACAATTTTTATACTTCAGCAAGACCTTGCATAAAAACCATCAAAACTCTTTAAGACCATCTTAGCAAAGAGTTGAAAAAGTAACTTGACTTCATCAACAATCTACTTTAAATCATAAAAGTTATCTCTTACGATAATGTCAATAAGCCATATTAAAAAAACATTTAGATAAGCTGACACGTAAACTTCACAAATCATAGGAGTAACTCATTCAACTAATACCAACTTCTGAGCCAAATTCTCATATTTCAGGAAAAGAAAAGACAACTAAATACTGTGACTTCCACACCACTGCATGTACAAAGCAAGGACTGATCAACATCCAACTTCAATTCAGTATTTATTATACTTTTATTAATTAAAAAACCTCACAAAGTGAACCAGATGAGAATCAAACGTTTAACCTACTCTGTAAGTCCGTGAGATAACAAAGTAAGATTCACAAAAGAGATAATGAAATCTTTACTTTATAGAATTCTTTTATTTACATACAACTTCTCATAATTAAAACTTTTCACAAGTAGTATAACCCCTAGTAACAATTCCCTGAAAACTTCCTTCACGTTATTCTATGTATGCATACATTTCATTTTTTGGCAGAGATCTGGTGATAAAGGAAGATCAAAAACATTATGAACTATAACTAGCCATGAAACCTGCCATAGAACCTATTTGCTCTTCAACCTTGTACTTAATCTAATGACTACACCTTCCTTTGTCTTACTGCACACGCTAGTATCCAAATGGAATTTTTTCTTCTCTCACAACAGTGATACCACACTGCAGTACCCCCTTGAAGGTAAAAAGGTAATGTAATATAATGCTGTGAAGCAGCTAAGTAGTCTGTTGGGTCAGCATATAGCAAGATCCCCTGGATGCAGAGAAATGCCATAAATTTGGCAAATGAAACCAAAGCAGTTGCTTCAGTGAATGACATTTAAGAACAAGCACATCATCAGCAACACCAGATCAAACTGTAACTGTATTCAATACTTGAATACGGCAGACTTCTGGTAATCCTACTCGTCTTAACATTCCAGTTGCCCCACTCGACATGCGAAGAACTTATCAGAAAATGCACGTCTGCTTCAAACAGTACCTTCAAAACTCTCTTTCAAAATGCAAATGCTATACATTCACGAACGTTGTCACAACTTCCAGTTCATGAACTTCTGTGTAAGTAATAACTAAGCTACTTGCTCTAGACAGTTAAAATTTAAAACGGATGTCCTCAGTTAACATCTCAATGCACAGTCAGTTTAAAAACTCAATTCTTAAGGAAACAAGATGTAACTTCAACGTTCAAGCATGAGATAAAAATCCCCTTTGTGTTTTTCAGGAATAGGAATTAAGTCACGTCTACTGAAAAATACCGAATGTCCTAACATGTAGGTTTGCTAAACGAGTGTTTCCTTAAACAGTTGTTCTTTTGACTAATTCAGGGGGATTACAGATACCTAGAGGTCACTTTACTATAGAGATGGGAGGACGTTCAGTGCTTCAGAAACACTTGCTACCGCCTTGCACATTAACCTGCCCGTCTCGAGGACAGCACACAGCAACTCAGTCCTGAGAACTTTGTTAATTTTTAGGTTCCAGTTCTACCTTTTGCCAAAGCAGGTAAAGCAACTTTAACAAGATCAGACAATTACAACCCTTCCCCAGCTCTCGTCCGCCTCGCGGGCCGCCCACGTGGAAGAAGCTCGGGCTCCCCATCGGCCCAAGGCCACAGGGCCTCTTTCACGCTCTACCTGTACGGAGGGCGGCCCGGCGCCACCGGGAGATCGCCCCTTCCCCTCCCCGGCTGACGAGCCGCGG